GCCCAAAACACTCAGCCCTGCCATAAGGATGATCTCAAGGGGAAACTGAGGCACCGTGCAAGGCCATTGTCCCCCTTCACCCCACAGCAAGCAAAGGGCTCCGGCATCACCTCATCCCCTCCCAGCAGTCAGCCCTCCCCCGCCTCTCAGCTTCTAATTTTTAAATAAAACCCATCTTGGCAAATGCCTGCATGCTGACATCAGCAGCAGGTGATTGATCGTTGCTGAGTGCTGCATTCCCCCCAGGGGCCCCACACTGAGGGGGGATTGCATCGGTGCTTCCTCAAGCCCCCTTCCGCTCCCATCCCTATCGATTGCCATCACCTTTTCTGACTAGACATGTGCTGAGCAAACTCAATCAAGCCTCACTAATCACGGGTTCTGCCCAGTAAATATTTCACTAATTGGGATGGGAGTGCAAGGTGTTGGGATTTTGGGACAGCCATGAGGACTGCCATGGGACAGCCTTTGGGACTGCCTTCGGGGCTGCCATGGGGCAGTGATGGGACTGCCTTTGGGACCACCATGGAAAACAGCCTTTGGGACAGCCTTGGGATGCAAGCGGAGTACTGGGAGGACCCAAGAGCACAAGACTTGGCCCCATCTGCATCTCAGCTTCCATGAGAGATGTTTTCACAGGTGTGAACTGCTCCCAGCAGAGATGTGCTCCCAGCAGGATGCCCCTTGGGCAGGGCCCATCCTCTTCCCTTTGTTTGCACAGCTTTTAGCAGCACCCCGTAGAAGTGCAGCCTGCTGCTTTGCTAATGCTGACGGTTTCCAGAAGTCTCCATCTAGGCTGGGAGATGAAGAGTTCAAGATTTACAAGCCCACATGCCAGTGGTCAGTGTTTTACTCACTGACACCATGTCCATGCTCCTCCAACCACAGAGCTGCGTTCTGGGGCTGAAATCCCCAAATTTGGTGCCCTGTTCTCCCATTTCCCCAGCATCCCAATCCAAGGTCTCTTCCATGGCATCTCCTCCATGCCCTGCACCAACCTGTACTACCCACGGGCTTGGGTCCAGGCTGGATTCTGGTGAGGAGAGGTGGAAGCTCAGTGGTGGCCCCAAAGAAGAGGAGGAGGAAGAGGAAGGCTGCTCACACATGGAATCACCCCACACATCCAGGGAGGAGCTGAGCACAGGGTCAGTCTGTGGCACCTACGGGTGAGGAGAGGCTTGTAGGGGCAACCCCAACACCAACTCACTCTAGAACCCATTCTTTCAGATTTAATCATTTTCCTCTACTCCCACACCTCCTCATAGACCAAACCTTATAATAATAATAATAATAACCATTATGCAATAAATTCCTCTTATTACCAAGCTCCTCCAGAGCTCCAGCTGCAGCTGATGGGAACCAGGTGCTCCCAGCCTGCCAGGGCAGGGCAGGGCAGGGCAGGGCAGGGAGGGGTGGGGATGGAGGGTTTCTGCTTCCATAGGGTGGTGCATCAGGGGCTCTCCAGGGGAGTGAGGAGATTTGGGGTGGGCTAAAGGGAATTATAGCCCTGCTGCAGGTCCTGTGCTTGGGAGAGAAATAGGGTGAAGTGAGCTGAGCTGGGGAATCATAGAATGGCTTGGGTTGGAAGGAACATCAGAGATCATCAAGTTTCAAGCTGGGGCTGAGTTCCCACCCCCATAGGACCCACCCCAACCCCAGTATTCCCTCTTGCTCCCTACCTCAGTGAGCAGTGAGTGGTAGGCAGACTCAGGTGAGTGCAAGGGGACACTGGGAGATGGCCCAGCTGGGGATGCAGGTGACGGGGCTGTGCTTGCTGCTCGGTGTTCCCTCTCCTGGGCATGGGGTGATGGTGTTGGAGACACCAGGGCAGGTGGCCGGTGCTCATGCAGGGCAGCAATGAAGGCCAGGCGGCCGCAGTGCATGGCTGGCTGCTCACTGCCTGCCCGCAGCAGGGCCAGCACTGCGCTGTAGCGATACCAGTCCTCATCTCGCCCCGCCAGGAGCTTCAGCCGTGGCTGGTCAGGACGAGGATAGATGGCAAAGAAGGCTTCACCCACCCTCTTCCTCCTCAGTAGGGTCCCAGGGCAGTGCAAGGCTTCGATGTGGAGCCGCACATCGTGGTTCTTGTCGTTCTTGCAGTAACCTGATGGGAATGCTGGGTCAAGCCTTGGTGTCCCTTCCATGCCACCAATGCTATAGCCTGCTCAGGTGCTTTGGAGACCAACTCAGGCTCAACAGTTTGCTGCAGGAGCAAAGCTATGGGCGTGCAAAGGGGTAGGTTTCCAACCCAGGGGTCCCTCTTTGCCACGAGCCCATCCCTCAAGCAGTGGACACTGTAGGGTCTCCTGCTCTATAAGCCCATCCCCATGGCATCCAGCATCTCACCTCTGGGCAGGGTGAAGGTGAACTTCTTCCTCTGGAAGGCGCAGATCTCCCCCAGGTGACCCTGCAGCACGGTGTCGGTGGTGCCGGTCCTGGTGGGCACGCTGCCCCCATCCCCAATGCGCAGTCGGACACCGTCCCCACTGTCCCTCAGCAGTGGGTTCTCCACGGAGAGCCGCAGGGCATAGCGACCACGCCGATTGAACTGAGCGCTCAGCACCTCAAACTCAAAATCCAGCACCTTGTCCTCAGCCCGGAGCCGCCAGCGCTGCAGGCTGGCAGGAATGCGGGACTCCCCAGCCATGTAGATGGAGATCCTGATGGGCAGGGAGCTCCCAGAGCCCTGCAGCGAGCCCGGGGCTTGTGTCAGAGCAGAATAGGCTCTGCTGACACTCCCACCTTTTTCCAGCAGAAAAACGCCTGGGGGTGCCCCTGGGTATGTGTAGGCTTCACATCTTGGCAGGCAGCTTTCAAAGGCGAAGCAGTGAAAGAAGAATCCTTGCCCTTGGTGCTGTGGAGAGATGCTGAGGGCTTTCCTTTCCCTCTCTGTGCAAGGACGGAGGCTCTGAGCTCTGGTTTGTTTGTAAGGCAACCAGGTAACTGCCAAGCGGTGGCTGCCTTCCAGCAAACAGCCCAGGATATCCAGGGTGATGCTGGCTGTACAGCAGAGCTGGGTGTGCTGGTACGGAGTGCTCCTCCAGCCCTTTGCCCTGCAAACCCTAGGAGAGATGAATGGGAACCCACCAGATCCTGTGAGACAATGCTGCTGCTCCTGATTCTTGGGCCCCACAGCAATGAGACTCGGGTGCCAAACGTGTGGCTGCCTCTTGGCTCAAACCCAAGGTAAGTGGGGTTGTGCGTGGAAGTGACTCCCCATTGGGCTGTGTGATCCAAGGGAAGGGAATGGGGTGAGAACAAGGCATGAGTGGTGCCCAGATTTGCGTCTGGACTGCAGTTTAAGGCTGAAAGCTCTCTGCAGGTACAGGATGGGGGCATTTGGGGGAGATGCTTTCCCTCTAAGCTGCTCTCCTTCTGCTCAGCATCACAAGGGCTGCTCTTCCCATACAGAAGTGCTCAGCCCACTGGGGGTATTTTGGGATCGAGCTCACAGGGTGGTGGGCAGGGAGCTGGATCAGCCCCTCTGAGCCCCCAGCCCTGTCACATCACATTCCCCGATCCCTGTTGAAAATAGTGCGTTCCCACAGCCTTCGGGATGCTTCCAGTGAAACATGAGCCGGGGCCATGCCAGCAGATGGCCCTTCTCCTAGACAGCCCGTCCATCCATACAAAAAAAACTGCATTCCAGCTCTTCAAGCTTGAAACAACACAGTTATCCTTCTGGGGAGCGGGGCAGGGGGATTCAGCAGTACATGGGACCCTGGGGCTGGAGGTTTTGCTTATTTGATGGGAAAGCAGGCACCTGTGGGGTGCCAACCCCAAATGGCTGCCTCCACGCACCCCTTCGGAGGTACCTTTGTATATTAACTTTTTTCCTCTTCATTTAGGGGAAAAAAAATAATTGCTGGGGTTTGGGCTTGTCATGCTGACACCCAATACAACCCCACTGCACGCGTTGCAGTGCGCATCCTGGGGAAGGGGGGGAATGGGGCAGGATTTTGGGGTCACAGGCGCTGGGTAGGGTTTAATGCAGCAACAAGGCATGGAAATGAGACATCTCTGCCTGTTGCCCTAATCAGCCTGCCTAATTTCCTCCCTGCCTTGTGCAAACACATTACCGAGGCACCTCTAATGATGGCAGCACCATCAAAGAGCAATTTTCCCGTAATTTCACCCAAGGCACAGTTTACTCAGGCAGCATTTCCCAGCTGCACCAGAGGCGCACGTGCGGCTTCCATCATCCCACAGCAGCACGCGGTGGGGGAGGGACAGTGAACAGGTGCATGGGGCATGGCAAGCCCCCGTGGTACTCCTCATAACAACCCTGAGGGTGTGTAGGGGGGGACTCTTGGCTCTTTGAGCCTGGCCACGAGGCTTTGGCTAAAAATTAAGCAGAATCCTCCACGCTGATTAATTTTCCCTTTGCTCCCTTGTCACGTGCCGGGGTTATTGGGGTGCTGTGAGTTGCTGTGCCGTGAGCTTGGTGGCTCCTGGGGAAGGTGGGGAGCACAGGTTGGATGAGGAGGAAAGAAAGGGATGACCCAAATCCCACTCTTCTCCAAAGCGGGGTGTTCAGGAACCCCTCAATGCTGTGCTGGAATGCAACAAACGTTCCGGTGGGAGCTCTGGGACTGTCACCTCGTGCTGGTGGCACCTGGGGCCATCCATCCCAACCCTTACCCCAATCCCAGACTGCCTCATCCTATCCGTTTCCAGCCCCATTACAAAGCAGGATTGCACAGCGTCCAGCCCTTGGGCAGCCCCCAGGAGGACGCCTGCAGAAAACAGGGATGTCTGCAGCATCTTGGGTGGGCTGGCACGGCGCGGGGGCCCATTGTGCTCTCATTGCCCCCCCCCAAGCCGCCAGCACAGGGGCAGGGGGGGATGAAGGAGGCTGGGGGATGAAGGAGGTTGGTTCTGCTGCCTCCCCTCCCCGGGTAATCAAAGGGGAGAGCGCGGCACGGGGTTGGTTGCTTTTCATTTCCTAAACCCCAGGGTGGCCCCGAGCCAAGGCCTCCTCGCCATGGAGGGGATAAAGTTCCCGACGCTGCCGCCGCCTCGCCGGTGCGCTGAACTTTGTCTGCGGGATCGTATGGCTGCCGCCGCGCCGTGCTGATGCTCTGAGCCCTGCACAGCTGTGCCCGTCCACCAGCCGAGCCACAGGTCGGGAGCAGGTAACTTTGGGGGCTCCTCTTTTGTTGTTTTGGTAAAGTTTGGGTGTTTGAAGTGGGGGGTGAATCCGTCCGAGCTGAGCACTCGTGTGTGTTTGCATAAGGAGACCAAACCCTTTTGGTGGCCTTAAAGCCAAGATTTCATCAGCAGGGCTTTGGGGGCTTTGCCCTGATTCCCCCTTCCCTTCCCCCCCCAAGGTGCTGCTGCAGAGTGCTTTGCTGCAAACCCAAAAGCTTTTCCTCTCCGCTGCTCCCTGCAGGAGCTGAGCGCAGCAGGTGCTGCCGTGCCTGCAGGGTTTCAAAGTAAAAAAGGGCAGGAGCTTAAAAATAACCCCCAAAAGGCCGACCTGCTTCTGTGCTAAACTGCCTTTGCTTCTAAAATTTGGGTCGTTGTTGAGCATGCTGGTGATCTCCAAGGTGGGTCAGCCCGTGGATAAAAGGGGTGCACAGAGCTGGGGAGTCCCACTGGGGTGGCGGGGGTCAGCAGAAGTGGATTTGGGACCTGTTGGATTTTGGGACCTGTTACATGCGGCTGGCTTTGTGCCGAGTGTTGGGATGGAAAACCATCTCTGCAGACCCCCATTTGTGCCTCACTGCTGGCGCAGCCCCCTGCCCTCTCCCTGCCCCGTGGGGGCTTTCCAGGGAGGATGAGGATGTGTGTCAGGGTGTCCTCAGTGACCTCAAAGAGGGCTGACTCAACCCCATACTTCTCGGACATGGGAGCTGAGTGGGGGCTTCCCGCAGGCTCCAGCCTTCAATCCATCATACCCCTCCGTTTCCACAAGTTGGGAAACTCATAGAAAACAAGCAGTGAGGAAAAGCCGCCCTATTCCAGAAAGAGGATTAAAGTCTTCGAGCAGCTCTGGCAGCTGCTAAATCCCCCCGTAGGACCCAGCATCTTCCTCAGCTGTCCCTGTTGGGTGTCCTCGGGACCCACCTCCCCACGGGGACACGCAGCTCCTCCAGTCACTCTCACTCAGCAATTGAATTAGAGGAGATCTCGCTTAAACAACTCCCCCCCGGCCCAAGCGCTCCCTGAACAATTGTGAAATGAGATCTTTATCATTTTTATTAAAAGCCGTACACAAGGCATCGCCATTATCCCCGATAGGAGGAGGGAAGGGGGCTGGGGGGGGGAATTCCCTTATGGCTTCACCCCCCCCCCCCCGTTTAATTCATAGCGGTGGGATGCAAAAGCTCCCTGGAGGGTGATGGATGGTGGGAAATGAAGAATATGAAGGAGCTTTATTGAAGCCATCAATCCCTGCGATGCTGCGGCGATCAAAGGCCCAGCCTGTTTGGGCAGGGGTTAGGTGGAGGAGCAAAGGGATCAGGTTTCGGGTAGAAGAGAGCTGTCGGGGTGGGATTTTGGCATGCTTAGCTTTGCCCATCCCATGGTGGCAGCGCCTTTGAGGCTGCTTCCTCTTGGCACCCTTTTGTCACCGAAGGTGGCTGAGCTGCTGTCATAGCTGCTGTCACCCTGCTGGTGGGAGGATGAGCTCGGAGGTGGCTCAGTGGGGTGGAGAGAGGAGCATGGGCAGTGGCCATTTGGGCCATCTGGGGGGAGATCTTTCACCCAAAGGCTGCAGCGCCTTCACCCTGCAGGAGGGGATCCTCCAGGAGAGGAAAGAGTCTCCTGGGTCTTGTGAGATGTTTGTGTGCTTTATGGGCTCCTTCTACCTCTTTTAGGAGTGCTACATTCCTGGGTGATGAGGTCAGAGCCGCTTGCCCATGCAGGCAAAACCAAGGGATGGCGGGGGAGTCGATACTCTGGGGTGGGCTCTGGCAACCCAAGACCCCCGTGGGGAGTGGGACCCTCACCCCGAGCGGAGGGGAAGCACTAAGGGAATATCAACCCACACCTTTGGAGCCAATGGGCAGTGTGTCAGGAGTCCCCGTGGAGCAGCTCTCAGCTTCATGGTCGGTTTGGTGACATCCCTGAGCCCTGGGCTGACACATGGGGACAGTGTTGGATACTTCACTAGGGATGAAGCCCCTGGGGAAGGGCAGGCTTCCTTCAGATCTGCTGATGGGTGTCTTTCATCTCTTTGGGTGCTTTCCTGCCCCACTATGGGCTCGTAGTCCCTGGGGCACAGGAAGACTATTCATGATGGCCATGAGCTGAGTCAGAGCTGCAGGACAGTGAGAGAGGGTGTGGGGCTGTTGGGCCAAAGTCATCAGTGCTGTGCAAAAGGGAAAACATCGGAGGGAAGCAGGAATAAAACCTTGTGTTTGGCACCAGGACGAGCCACCCCTTACTGCTGTGGGATGAGCTCGCTTTGGCCAGGGGCAGGTGCTGGGGCTCCAAACACCTGGTAGCAAAGGGACACAGGGGACATGAGCCACTCACCCATTTCTTTCCCGCTTCACCCACACCCCCTGAACGTGACCCTTGCTCTGATTCTGCAGCCCTTCACGTAACCACTGTGAAGCAACCCAAACAAAGGCTCTATCAGCATCCCAGCAGCGAAGCTGGGGATGGGTGGGAGTGCCCTGACAGAATAAAGCCTCTGGGCTGCTTGCTTCCAGCCCTGTATTCTCAACAGGACTTCCCCCAAGCCCACCTCTCTGCCTCTCCCTTGGGTCAGTAAGAAGAAGGCGCTCATGGCAGCCAACATCTCTGGGGCCGCGCACGGCTCGCTGCTGGATGACAGCTTTGGGGATGACCTGGTGTCGGACTGGTACATCTACGAGACGGCAGAGCCAGCTGCACCGCAGGATGAGTAAGTGCTGCGTGTCCCCAGGCGGGTGCCACCTCCTCCTCTTGTCCTCACGGATGGACGCAGCTCATTGCACGATGAGTTCCATCATCCTGGCGATCCGCTCTGTAACAAAGCGTTCTCCAAGCAGTTTACCTGAGCTGTCCCACCTGGCCTGGGTGCACCCATCAGCACCTCTTGTCCCTCTGTTGATGTATCTAATCCCAAGCAGGAGGGCTTGATGGGGACAAGCCCGGCCATTGCCACAGGGTCCTTAATCTTCTGCGTTGTGCAACCTCTGAAATCTCCTTGCCCAGCCCCTGTGTGCTCACAGCCCTGATAGGAAACTTCAGGGATTTGGCTCTTTCCTTCTCGGTGTCCCCTGGTGCTGAGGGCATGCAGGCAGCATGGCAGTGTCCCCCGATGACGCTGGATCCCATGCAGACCCCAAAAGCTCTGGATCTGGTGCTGGTGAAACCCAGCTGTTTTGGAGCTGGAGCTACCCTCGGAGCTGCAATATTTGGGGACAGCAGGAACTGTCTGGTCTATCCAAGGACAGCTGTTAGCAGAGAGAGAAAGCAGAAACCACAGAGCTCTACTGGCAGCAGCCTGTCCTTATGGCCTTCCTTGGAGGGTGGGATAAGTTGGGACATTTGCTGCCTGAACAAATCCTAAAGGGGAGCACAGGGTCCGGGAGAGCATGGGTGCCTGCAGGGCCGCTCCCCGCTCTTATCTCTGGAGCTGAACCATAAAATGCATCTCTCAGGGTGACCTCAGCCCCACTATCAGGGCCGTGTGGCCACGCTCCTTGAAGGTTCTGCGCTGCTGCTGCCATCTGCACACGCATGGAACATCACCTCACTGTCTTTCTCTCAGGACACGGTATAACCCCCATTATTTTTCTCCTTTCTCCAGCATGTTTCCCAGTACCGTCCCAGACTGCGACCCTACTGTTTCCCCCAGGCTGTACCACACCTGTATGGCACCCATCTCCGTAAGTACCCACGCTGGGATGGTGAGCCACCTGCCTTGTTCAGGCCGTGCACAACCTGCTCCTAAATGGTTCTGTGTGGAATGTCAGCGTGGTTTCCCTCTCCTGGCAGCTGGCCGTGCTGCTGGGCTTGTCCTTGCTGGTGAAACGCAGGCGTCTCCACCGGGACTGCTGGAACGGCATCCCTGGGCTGCTCAGGTACCTTGTCCCAGCCATCCCCATCACCCTGCCCAGCTGGCATGGAACAAGCCAGCTGTAGGCTGCCATATGCCAAGCGATGAGATGCCAGGCTCGTTTCCACCTCACAGCCCAGCTAACTTCCTGGAGGAGGAGGGCAACAGAGGGCTGATGGCTGCGGTGTTTGGCATCCTCTTCTCCTCACTGTGTGTGCTGGTGCTGGATGCCGACCCTCTTCCGCTCATCACCCACTCCTCCCAGCACAGCCGGGGTAAGGCGGGCTCCATCCCAGCCTCGTGGAGCCGTGCAGCCCTCTGGGCAACATATTCCTTGTCCCTACTGAGGGCTCCTGTCCCCTCTGCTCCCCCTCTGTACTGCAGAGTACTGGAAGATCCTGGCTTTGCTCTACTACCCTGCCTTCTACTACCCCTTGGCTGCCTGTGCCACGGTGGGGCACAGGGCCAGCTACCTGCTGGGCTGCCTGCTCTCCTGGTGCCACTGTGTGGTCCACGTCTGGCAGAAGGTGGACTGTCCCCAGTCACCAAAGGTACACATCGTCCCACCATCAGGGCAGGCTGGTGTGGCTTTGTCACCTCCCTGAAGAGGTGGCATTGAGATGTCAGCGCTCAGGTTGAGACCCAGGCTTGGTGGGGTCCGAACTGTGACAGCTCTGCTTGTCTCCAGATATATAGGTATTACTCCACACTCTCTTATGTCCCCATCATCCTCTGCCTCATGGTCCTAAGTCTGTGGTACCCAGCCCTGCTGATCAGGAGCTTCACAGGAAAGGAGGAGACCTCAAACAAGGAGGTAATGAAGGTCTATGAGGTGGTGGGAACATAGGGGAATCCCATGTGATTTTGGGACTGCTAGAATTGAGGTGTTCCAGTGTTCCCAGTGTGGTTCCCAGCAGCTTGCTGGCCCTCTGAAGGCAATGTTGCATGCATGGGCTGTAGCTCTGTTTATCTTGGTGGATTTGAAGAGGGGAAAATCCATCTTTGGAGTAAACTCCTTAGTACAAGAGGCTTACGGCATCAATGGTTCCCATTCAGGCCGGACTGGGGTCGCCTTGTGTTCCCAGCAGGCAGCAGTAATCCTCAGCCCTTTTGGAAATGCTGGGCTTTGTTGGGTGAAGGAGAGGAGAAAACCTTCAAAAACAGCACTTGGCCCCGGCATGGACCGAAGTGACCCTACTGTGGGCTGGCTGGGGGGGGAGCGGGTGACTTACTGCTGCTTTGTGAAGGTTACAGGGAGAGGCTATTACAAGAAGTACCTCAAAGCTGTGCTGTCCAGGCGGCTGCAGAAGGGGAGGTAAGGGCAGCCTGGGGATGGGGACAGCATCAATGGGGCAGAAATAGCCCCCTAGCCCTGGTTTTAACAGTAAAACAAAATACAAGCCACTCTTGTCACCACCTCCTTCCTCCTACAGCACCCCAAAGCTAGAGGAGAGCTTCCTGTCCCGGCTCCGTGCCTATCTATGCTCCTACATCTATGCTCCAGAAGAAGGTAGGGCGCGCTCCTTGTGCAGCAGAAGCTCAGCAAACAGTCTGCCTTCCCCACGGATAGCAAATGCCTTCCTTGGCACCAGCCCCAAAGCATCTGTGCCACGGCAGCTGCCTCTTGGCACGCGCACAAACTGTTGCAGTTTGGGGTGGAGGAACTGGAGGCTGGGACCCTCATGGAGGGATGTAGGATGGAGTAGGGCTGCTGCTGTGGGAGCACGAGGATTTTAGGGGTTTGCAGGAAGGAAAACCTCAGTTCACAGCTGGTTTCTCCCATTTGCAGGTTTCCAGCTCCCGCTGAAGCTCGTTCTGTCCATGACCACGTCAGTCATCGCTGTCTACCAGGTGACAGGGGTGGCCCAGTGTAGTGCAGAGGGCACGTCCTCAACGGGGCAAGGGGGCCACTGCCATGTGCCATCGGGGCAGTTTGGCTTTGGGGATGGTATTAGCGTGCCTCAAGGTATTACCATCCCTTGGCTCAGCCTCGGTCCCCGGCACTTTGCTCACTGGGCTCAGCCACCCTTAAGTCTTTAAGCCAACGCAATGGCTCACGAGACATTGCTCCCTTGTAGGTGGCCCTGCTGCTGCTGGTGGCCTTTGTCCCCACCATCCAAATCGTGCGAGCAGGCATGACAAAGGACGTGGTGGTGCTGCTGGTGCAGTTCGGGCTGGTGCCCTCAGAAAACCCAGGCATGCCGGGGGACATGGAGAAGGAACTCAGCACCGTCAAGCACTACCTGTGGTCGCTGGAAGGTGGGTGGGGGGCATCCCCAAGTTTTGAAAGACTCAAACCCAGATCCGTCCTGCTGGAAAGAGGAGACACACAGCTCGTGCCTGAGCTTGGTGCCGTGCCAGGGCTCCCTGAGCAGCTGCTGCCTGCCCAAGCACCGCGCTGCAGATGCCGCTCCTTGGACAGGTTTGGAGATGTGCTGGAATCGAGCAGATGGCTCCTCGGCCCCTGCTGCTGAGTGGGCACCTGATAATTGAAAGCTCTGCGTGGGGCTGGCAGGGTGCCCCCTCCCTCCATGGGGCATTTTGGTGACTTTTCCAGAGTCGCCAAGCCTCTCTCATCCTCTTAACCTTTGTTTTCCTGCCATTTCCATCTTTCCAAGCAGAGCCCCCTTCTCCTGTTTTGCTTCCTGCTGCACAGCATCCCACCAGGCTCTGAATGACTTGCTTGTTGCTCCAGCAGGGAGCTAACCTGGTGATCATACCCCTTCTAATATGCTTGGGGAATATTATCCTCCTGCCTTCCTAGGGGATAAAAAAAGCTTCCCCACATATTGCAAAAGGGACGGGGAGGGAAACTGAGGCAAGGTGCATTGCTTGGGGATCCATCCACGCGGCACCAGCACCTATTGCTGTGTGATGCTCTCAGGAAAATGTCTGCAGCCCTTTAGGGACAAAGCCCTGCTCCCTTAGGGACAAAGAGCAGCTCCTTGTCTTCTCCCTGCAGTGTGCTACGTGTGCTCGCTGGTGCTGTGCTGTTTGCTGACCCTTGCCATGCTGCTGAGGACGCTGGTGATGCACAGGTAGGGAGGGCCCCACAGATAGGCCCCCTCCATCACCCATGCCGTGTCCCTGTCCTTGTCCCCCAGTCCAGCATTGGCTTCTCTCCCCTGCAGGAGCAACCTGAAGGTACTGTACCAAGGGGCTGTGCTCGATGTCTTCTACAAAGCCCACATCCTCCGCCCATCCCGACAAGCTGTTGTCTGCTGGATGAGCTTTGCCAGTTTCCAGACGGCTTTTGCCTGCCTGGGTATGTGTTTCTGGGGGGCTATAGAATCATAGAATCATAGAATCACCAAGGTTGAAAAAGACCTAAAAGATCATCCAGTCCAACCTATGGGGTGGGAGGAGGTGGTGAACCCCATTTCCAACAGGGAACTTCATATTCAAGCAGCTCCAATCCCCTTTTTTGGCCCCATTTTGCAAAACTCTGGGGCTTTTGTTCATCTACTCCCTCAACACAATCTGTCCTTCCGCGGGGAGGACCAAATGGTGGGAGAAAAGAGGGGTCTGGAGGAGGGGGGGGGAGTGAGAGCCGCCTTGGCTCCAGCCCAGATATTTTGTTCCGCGGCATCTCATGTAAAGTCCTGTCTGTCTCCTTCGGTCCCAGCCATCGCCTCCCAAAGTCTGTGCCAAGGGGTGTAAAATGGGACAGAAATCCAGCCCGGCGCGATGCCTTAAAGCCCTATTTCCCAGCTGCAAAGCGGAGCACTCAAGGTGGAGCGCGGCATCCGATGGCGCGGGGAGCCGCAGCCGCCGCCGCTCTCGGCGTGATTTATGATTAGAAATCACAGCTCGGGCTGATTTTATGATGAGGCATCGCAGCCGCAGCCCCCGGAGATGGCTCCTCTCCGTGGGGATAAAGCAGGGCGCGATAAGAGAGGCTGAACTTGTAATTAGATCCCGCACGGAGCATTGTGCGCGGAGCGGGGGAGGCAGGGACGGCTCGTGCTTATTATGGGATTAAAGTGAAAGGCGTGCTCAGAAACAAGCGCAGGGGTGGGAAGGAGAACAAGGACCATTTCTCCTCCCCTCCCCGTGACAGCTACTTTCCCCCTTGCCTCCCTCCCAGGTCTCCTCATCCAGCAAGTGATTTTCTTCATCTGCTTTGCTGCCTTCACCTTCCTTGTCGTCATCCCGCTGCAGTCTGGCACAAGCTCATACCTCTTCAAAATCGTGCAGAACATGTGGTGAGGGCTCAGGACAACCCAGCTGCATGCCACAGACAAGCTCATAATGAGTGACTGGCCATGGGGAGGCTGCAGCTTGGGCTATGGAGTGGTCTCCCCTCCCGTCTTCCAACCTTTGGGAGGATGGCCTCAAGAAGTGATGGCCTCAAGTTGTGCCAGGGGAGGTTCAGGTTGGGTATTGGGGCATAATTCTCAGAAAGAGTGGCAATGCATTGGCACAGGCTGCCCAGGGAGGCGGTGGGGTCACCATCCTGGGAGGTGCTGAGGAAAATGGTAGATGTCACACTGAGTGACGAGGTCTGGAGCGGCCACAGGCATGGTGGACTCGATAACTTTATGGGTCCTTCCAATCTTAATGATTCTATGAATCACCTTCTCTTTCGGCCAGGCCCTTCTGGCTGACCCTGGTGGTGGCTGTCATCGTGCAGAACGTGGCTGCTCACTACCAGTTCCTGGAGCAACATCCCCTGCGGAAAGAGCTGACCAACAGGTATGGGCATGTGAGCTCTATGGGGCAGAGCTGCCCAGCGATGCGGGCTTTTGGGCTGCCATGCGTCCTCTACCCCAAAACCCCAGCCTCATTTTAAGGAGAAATGGAGACTCTACTTGTGCTGGAGGCAAATCTTTAAGTCCTGACCACACACCAGAAGGGCGTTCACATCCTTCTGTGGGATGGAGCCGTCTCAGTCAGGGATGGTGTCGGCCAGGGAGGGAGAGAAGGGTGGGAGGTTTATTTTGGCAGCTTCCCCTGGTAGGGAAGGGCTGTGTTCCCTGTCCTAGGCTGTTTGTGTTCCTTATCCCTCCTTTCTCATCCACAGACGAGCTCTCTACATCGTCACTTATCTGCTGTTTCCCATCAATGTGCTGGTGGGGGTCCTGGCAGGGGTCTGGAGGATGGTTATCTCTGCCCTCTACAACACCATCCACTTCTGCCAGTTGGACATCAGCCTGCTGAACCGTGGTGTGGAGACATTTGACCCAGGTAGGGCAAGGGGCAGCTCTGGCATGGGGACCTCCATCAACTCTAATGGGTACGTCTGGCAGCACAGGGCCACTTCAGTTCCCAGGGCTTGCATCTAGGGCTCCTCCATCACCTGCTGGGACCTGGGGTGGGTTCAGCTCCTTGTGCTCATCAACATCAATCAGCTGTGGACCACGCTGACCCCACCTGTGTTTTTCCTATGGGCTGTCCCCCAGGCTACCACGCATACTGCCACTACCTGAAGACAGAGGTCAGCCAGTCACACCCACTGATGAGAGCCTTCTGCCTGCTGCTCCTCCAGCCTGTGAAGCCACAGGGGCCACCTGAGCCCCGGACAGGGGACTTAGAGGAAGGTGAGTTCCTACAGTCAGGCCAGGCTCTTTCAGCACACGGAACATGCTTCCCACTGCCATCTCCTTCCAGGCCTCCAGCTGATGCACACCAAGAAGGCACCATCGGGAGGAGGCCGATTGAAACGGAGCCGGGCACGCTGGTGGTTGGCCTACACGCTCCTCAACAACCCCTCGCTGATGGCCTGCAGAAAAACTGCCCTCTGTGATCCCACAGCCAACGGAGCCCAGCTCAGCCCCCCCAAGCCCTGACCTCCACCCCCTGCCTTTTCCCTCCTGTCCCATCCCGCCTCCCGTTGACTTTCCTTCCATGACGGGAGGAGGTTGGGCACTCCTGTCCCTCTCCAGCAGTGACAGCACTGGTTTGTAGCTCTGGGTCCATGCGGGATGCAGAGGTGATGACACAGTCAAGGCATGCCAGTCTAAGCCTGAGCTGGGAGCAGAGGCTTGGTGAGCCAAGCTAGACCCTTCAGCCATCCCAAAAGTCCTCTTAGGGTCATTTCTGAGATAAGGCCACTGAGGCCCCCTCCACCATCACCATCCCCATCATCCTCATGGATTTTTCCCATTTCATGTGCTCCATTTTAGGCTGGGAGGTTGCAGAACAGTTTGTCTGGGGCTCCCATAGCTGTCATCCTCCAATTTACCCTACTGGGGCTGTTTCCTCCCATGCTGCCATCCCGTTGTTCTCAAAGTCAGCTGTTCTCAAGGACCAGCCAACCCCAAGCCTATAGAACAGCACCATGCCTCCTTGGGCCATGCCGAGCTGGGGAAGAACAATAAATTGTATACCTCATTGCTACACTTGGGGTGTGCTTGCTCTCTTGGTGAGGCTGTGGCACACGTGGGGACACCCGGAGAGGGGCACACCAGGATGGTCACAGTGGTGTTCTGGTGGATCTGCTTGACTTTATGGAGAGACACAATCAAATCTCTCCTCCAAGCCCCAAGAAGACCTTGGTTTGGTCATACTCAGTGGTTGGGTAACAACAGGGTATTGGAGTCCGCCCTTGAACTGCTGATGCCAGGAACTGCTGATGCCCCACATGTGTGAGGTCTCAGAGCTGCACCACACAGCCTCCAGGCTGCAAGGGCTCAGGAAAAGGCAGTAGAAATCCCTTCAGTGTTCTGCAGCTCGGGGCCATGGGTGGAGCTGCCGCTCTGCATCTGTTTACACAGCCTGCGGCTTCCTGGAGATGTCTTGGCTGGGACCAAGTTGAGAGATGACAGGAGGTGGCTTCACTCTTTGTTTTCTTTCCCTTCCTTTGGCATAATCAGGGTGCCCTGAGGGTGAACTAAGCCTTTTGCTGCTACTTCTTGCCCCTGCAAGCTCGCTTCTTTGCACGCAGCCCTGGTGTGGCTCTGTCCCCACATGTCCCCAGGGTCACCATCCTCTTCCCACCCTCTGTGACATGCCTGAGCCTGCACAAGGTGGATCAGGAGCTCCTCTGGTTAACAGAAACCTAAAACACAAATGTGGGGAATGGAAATCCGCCTTTGCAAATGTATGGACACGCTGCCATGGGCATGGAAGGCAACTGAACAGGGTGGTGGCCCTCCTCCCAGACCCCACGCCATGCGTGTAAGGACTGAGCTGCCAGCCCCATCCCTGCCTGCATGGAAGGCAGAGCATCAACAGGGTGATATGGGCTGTGGGGAGAGCTGCCTCCAGAATGCAGAAAGGGCCAGATGGAAGCATTGCATCCCATGAAATGAAAGCATTGCATCCCATGAAATGAAAGTGAAACTCTGCACAGGGCATTGTCCTCCTTGTGCTTGTACTGGGGCTGCGGTGTTTTTCTTGCCTGTAATGGGAACAATATGTGTCTGCTCGCTAGCTGTGCAGCTAGGGGGGGTGCTCCCTGCCTCTATGAAAGAAACCAAATAGGGCTGGAAAGCTTATGCAGAGGCCCCAGGCTCCAACAGCTGCTTTACAGCTGTTTGCGTCTCTGCCTTCTCCTCCCTGCTCCGGTCTGTGAGCGAGCTGTGGGGGGCACAGAGGCAGCAGGCTGGTTTACAAAAGGTATTTATTGTGCTTGGTACACGGCTGGTGGCACAGCTTTGGTTACAAGGCTACAGGAGTCTGCATGGCTCCTGCAGGCACACGCTAGCAGAAAACATGAGGGATGCTCGGCGGTCCCACCATGAGCCCACAGCACCAGGGGCACAGCGTAGATGTCCTGCAGAGAGATGTAAGGCACTTTGGGATAATTGGTTTCATGTGGTCTCTTTGGTCTCTGTTCCCCCTGCTGAAGCTGTGGGGTTGAGCAGTGCAGCTCGGTGGGACCGGCCCGGCCGAGGGGTTTGGACTGTGGGCTCCGGTGGTGAATAGAGGGGAAAACATCTGCATCACAGATGTGTGAGGCAGTCAGGGTGGCAGGGCCTGGTCCTGGGACACAGGGAGGGCACAGATACCATGGGTAGTCCCTCACCCAACAAGTCCTATGCAGGAAAGGCTTAGCCTGCTCCTCATGGCCTGATCCATGCCTGGTACTGGGTGCTTTGCATGTCCCCTGCCATATCAATCACACAAAGAACTGTGCTGCCTCCATTCCCTAAAGGACCCTATGTAAGGCTGTCTGGCCCTGCAGCGACAGCACAGTGTGGATCTACCCTACATCACCCAAGCCTTGATGGAGTTCTCAGCTCCAGCCCTGCCCCTACATATGCAGGGGTTGGACCAGCCCTGGGCTCAGCTCTCGGCCACTTTGGCGCCCGCCTGCAGTTCCAAAAGCTCAGCAAACACGTGGCACTATGTGAAGGTAAATGATACAGAAAGTGGGGGAGCACTGGCACCAGTCTCTGCTCCCCCCTACCAGCCCAGCACGATGCCCAAGGCCAGCAGCAGGGTCACCAGCCCAACCCGGGGCACAGCTCCTCCAGCCGTCCCCTTCACCTCCCTTGGCACGTGGTAAACGATGACCAGCTTCTCCCCAGCGCCGACGGGATCCATCTCATCGCCCTTGTAGCAGCTCCGTCCCCCCAGTGAGCTGGCATGGGGGTCATCCTGTAGCAGGTCTTCAGCTGGATTCTCCGAGCCGGCCAAGGCCACGTTGACAGACACCTCTCTTGTGCCCACATCGTTGATGGCGATGCAGGTGTAGGTGCCTTCATCCTCCTTGCTGAACTTGGGGATGGCCATGGTGCCATTCTTGAAGACCAAGAAGCGCTCCTGGCTCTGCTTGATGCGCCCAGATGGGGAGAGGCTCCCATCCCGAGCCACATTGGGCCCATCGATCTCAACACCGTGCCCGGGGGTCTGGATCCTCCAACGGATCTGGGGCAGGGGGCTGCCCGCCACGCTGCAGTGTAGGCTGAGTGTCAGCCCATCGGGCAGCACCGTGTTGTCCAGTTTGGACAGGTAGGTGAGCTGCACTGATGGGGCCACGCACTGATGCGCCGGGATGTCGGTCACCGCCCGGCCCCGCATCCGCCCCGGCGCCGCACACAGCGTGGAACCACCCTTGGTGAGGGACACCGAGGTGCTCTCAGCCCAGCGTTTGAGCCAGAAGAGCTTACAGGAGCAGTTGAAGGGGTTGTTGAAGAGCTGCAGCTGGGACAGTGAGGGCAACGGGTGGAAGGTGCCATCGGCCAGCGTGGTGAGCTGGTTGTCATTGAGCCACAGCGAGCGCAGCTCTGCCAGCGCCTGGAAGGCATCTCGGGGCAGCCCGGCCAGCCGGTTGTTGTTCAGCTTGAGGATCTGCAGCCCGCTCAGGTTGCGCAGGTCCTGCCATGGGAAGGTGACCATCTTGTTGTGGCTCAGGTCCAAGTTCTTCAGCTGTGACAGCATGGCGAAGGCACCCGGCTCGGCACCGCCGATCTGGTTGTAACCCAGCCACAGCGACTGCACCTCGGGCACCTCGGCGAAGGCGCCGCGCCGCAGCCAGCCGATGCGGTTGGCCGACAGTGTCAGGATGGTGACGTTAGGGGACAGTCCCCGCGGCACCTCGGGCAGCTCCTTGTAAGCGCATTCGGCCAGCAGGCGCCCGTTCTTCTTGGTGGAGCAGGAGCAGGGCCCGGGGCAGGCCAGCCCGCGGCACAGCAGCACGGCGATGCCCAGGCAGCACAGCAGCGGCCCCATCCTTCCTCCTGAGGACAGACAGGGGACATGAGGGTGGCCGTGAGAGTAGCCAGCAGGGGATCTGTGTGTGCTTGCCAAGCGCTAACAGGAATCAGCCCTGCGATTATCTGCAGTAATGGGGAATATTTGAAATATTCCCCACTCTGAGCGAGGCACGGCTGTGCCAATAGCTTCTGGCTACCTCCATGATCTTAAACTATTTCCTTCCCACTCCAGCTCCTTGACAAAATGTCCCCCCGCCTCTGTTCTAGGCATCCTGCATCCCTTCAGTTTGGAGATGAAAGCTGTGAACTCCGTGTTCCGCGCTCCGCATTCAGACCTCACCGCACCTCTCCTAACGCGGATCACCACCACCCTCTCTCCCATCCTCAGCCCTTCTCCCCTCAAAGCATCAACTCTGGGCCCCTCAGCCCTCCAACCAGCTGCCGGGGGGGGGCCGCTGGAAGTCTTTACTTGCCGAGGGCAGAGCTAACTCCTTGTTGGCCTGGCGCGGCGGCCGCAGAGCAGCGTGGAGGCTGTGCTGCGCGGGTCCCACCGCGGAAGCAGTTAACTCAGCGAGGAGCTGGCAGCCAAACCCCTTTGTCTCGGCTCCGTGCTGCTGCGGGGCAGGAGGGGAGAGGGTGATGGGCACCGAAACGCCGCGCAACTATTTTATTATTTTCTTAGCGGGAGAGAGGGGTGAGCCACGCTCCTGCAAAAGGGTGCGCGCAGAGGGCCCTAGCCTGCACGGAGAAGCCACCACCGGGGTTGGGGCCGGGGCCCGGTGGCATTAGGAGGTCCCCTTTGGGCTGCTCCGTGGGGTGCGTGCACGGATCGGCCCCGCGCAGGATGGATGCGCGCACGAATCCGGCCCCGCGCAGGACGGCCGCGCACCGCGGGTCCCCCCGCTCCCCATCCCGTTCCCCCCATCCCCGCGCTCCGGTTCCAGGCAGCGCTTCCCGGTGAGGAGAAGGGGGCCGTTCCCTCTCCCCTCCGGCCGGGCCGCGGCAGCCGGGGGCGGTGCGGCGGGCGCATACCAGAGCCGTGAATAACAACCACCCCTCCGCCTCCCCGGGCAGCCCCGGACACCCCTCCTCGGCTCCCCGTCATCGCACCGCTCGTTTTCCGGGGACGGAGCGCCCGTTTCTCCCCACCGCGGCTCCGGGCTGGCGGCTGCGGCTCCCTCTGCCCGCACCCGGCTTCTCCTCCCCCCTCCCGCTCCCCCGGGCCCTTTTGTTTTCCATGGCACCGACCCGCTCCAGCTTCTCGCCTCGCCGAGGATCGCAGGGAAAAAAAAACACACAGGCGGCCCCTCCTCCCCCCGCGGCCCCACCGCTCCCGGACCCAAAGATCTGGGGGGAAGAGGGGGGGGGGAAGGCAGCGCAAAGGGCTCCCAACGCCGTCCCTCCGTCCCGGGGGGGGTTGTTCCACAGCACCGTGCCCAGTTCGGTGTGGGTACTCAGGAGGACGCAGCATCGGGGCGCAGAGCATCCTTTGCTCTTTGCCCTAAGAGTCCCCACCCGAACAAAGTGGGGCCACCAAACCCCAAAGGACCCCCCCGCTCCTCCTCCCTCCCCCCCCACCTCCCCAGCTCCGTGCGGAGCTCCAGCTCTCTGCTGCCTGCGTTGACACAACCGAGGCCGTGAGCGGGCTTAAAAATAGTGCGGGGCGGTGGGATTAGCGGGATCGGAGCGGGTCACCGAGGGGCTCGCAGCGGGACGTTCCCCTCCACCCTTGTCCCCGCATGATATCGGGGTGAAACTCACAGAGCTGCGGGGACCCAGCCGAGGTTCGGAGCTGCCGTTCAGCCTTTCCCTCGAATTTTTGATCTGGTTGTGACACTACTGTGGGATGAGCGTGTGGTCGGTCACCCCCGGCACGTCCAGCTCCACCCGGGGCTGGTGGCACGGCTAAGGGTTAATGCCTTCGGAAGGGGCAAACCACCCCGCTGAGCCCCGTTAACCCTTTCGGGGCGGCACCGGCCTGGAGAAAAGTCCATGGGATGCGGGGGGGGAGGAGGGAGGGGGATGCCGAGCTCCGTCCTTATGCCTGAGGGTACCTGGCGCTAATGAGCACCCTCCCGAAAAGGAGCAAATCTGGGAGCAATCCAGCACCGGGAGGCAGCTCGTTGCAAGCGAGATTCCCAGTAGATGCGTTAGGCGGGGAAATCTATTACCCCCTAATTAAAGGGAGGCAGGAATGATTGTTCTTTTTCTATTCTTCGTGTATTCCTAGGCATGAAACTCAATTAAAGTGCATCCGCAGATGGGGATTTGTCTGCGCGGGGTGGGGTGAGGGGGCTCCCTGCTTTACACTTGTTTTTAAAAGCTGCGGCAAACACCTCGGCTGCCGTAGGAGAGCCTTGAACTGCGAGGATTTGGGGGTTTGGGGAGAAAAACTCCTCCGCCTGCCCCCTTGGTGCTTTGTCTGCCTTCTTCCCGTGCCGTAGGAGAAAGATGCAGAGCCAGCAGAGCCGGACTTAAAATAGAATGCCGCGCTCCGGAGCTGGAGAAATGCGTGGCTGAGGGAGGATTTGGGGATGGACGGATGGATGGCGGGTGGGCTCGGGGTGCCTGGCTCCCAGTTTGTGGGCACTGGGAGCTGTGGGCTGCTCTTCCTCCCTCCCTTGTGTGTCTGCCCGGTCCCCTTCATATGGGCGAGGTCGGCTGCAAGCGCAGCTCCAGATAAGAAAGGCAATCAAAGGCAGCCTTAAATCTTCACCATGTAATCGTGGACTTAAATCAGCCGTGGGGCGAGAGCGGAGAGCTCCACGCTCATAAATCCAGTCCGATGGCACCGGGCACCTTCACTGGGCTGGGAATGGGGACATTTGGGGACTCGGGGTGGCAGCGTGGTGCCGGGATGCGTCCGTGTAGGGGCACACGTGTAGGGCCCCTTGAAAACGTTGTTTGCGTTTTTACATAGTGTGTATCTATACAGGGAGTGCCTACAGAGTGCATTATATATATCTGGTTTGCTGTATTTTCGTACGTGTGATACGTTTAGGTTTATTCATGTGGTGCGTGTGGACTGAGTGTACAAATGGGTGTCTACAGCTTGGACGTGTATATATAGGGTGTGTTATGTCTGTATGCTTTAGATACGTGCCTATAGATAAATTTACCCTGTGCTCCTACACGCTCTAGGCGCAGAAATAGGCACGCGTAGGCAGCTTTGCGTCCCTCCCGGAGCTGCAGGACGCAGCCCCACGCCATCTCCCACCTCCACACTGTGCCGAGCCGAGCGGGAGGGGCACCGGGGGGCACCGGAGGGAGTTGGGTGGGGAGGGGGAGCCGGCTCCAATCCCCCACCCCTCCAAACAAGCACGGAGGCGGGTGCACTTTCAATCCCTTTTATTGAATCTTTCACAGACAGAAAGGCGCAGAAAGGCGCCCGCGGCTCTCTCCAGCCCCGGGGCTCCCTGGGGGGGGGGGGGGGGGGAGAATGGGGAGGTGGGGGGGTTGGGGGGGGGGTGTTCCCTCTCCTCCCGATGGGGCTGGAGGTGGGCACGGACACCGGACCCCGCCCGCCCGCCAGCAGCACGGGCTCGCCTACGGCACAGACACTTGCTACAACGCTACTCTACCCAACACACATCGACGGGCACCGGGGAACCGGGGGGGGATCGGGGGGGGGGGGGGGTCGGGCAGCCCCCGGGGCCCCGGGAACGGGCGGGGGGCGCGGAGCTGTCCAGCGCCGCCGGGTGCTGAACGGCTGCCGCACCGGGGAGGGCTGAGCGCACGCTCGGCACCCGGTTTTGGGGGGGATATCGGGTATTTGATTTTCGCAGATCGGCTTTTTTTTTTTTTTTAATTATTATTTTGTTCGTCTTTTCGGGTTTTTTTTTTTTTTTTTTCGTTCTTTTCCTTCAAGCGGACCGAAAATAAGGGGCGAGCTGTGGAAGCGGGAGGGAGGGGAACGGGGAATCGTTGCGCCGCAGCGGCAACGGGGATCAATTTGAATCTGAACGGAAACGAAATCGGGGGATCAGCGTCCCGCTCGCCCTCCGCCCCCCCGGACTCGAACCCCTTCCCCGAGGGCCTGCCTCCTGGAGGAGGAAGAAGAAGAGAAAGAAGGATGCATAGGGGGGTGGATTTTTTCCGTCTCTCCTTGCTCCTTCCCCGGAGGAGGAAGCGGCAGCCTCCCCGATGGGCTGGGGGGGCTGGGGGGAGTGGGGGCCGGGGGAGTGATTTTGGGGTTCAGCGAGGACGCTGCCGGTAGTTCCCGTTGATCTCCTGGGAGATGGTGACAGCCTCGGCACCCAGCGGCAGCTTGTCGCTGTACTCGGAGCGCACCTCAAACTCCTCACCGTTGGCTTTGGACTGCGACTCCGCCATGGAGCTGGCTGCTACGCTCTCCTCCCGCTCCAGCTCCGTGGTCTCCTCGGCTTCTCTCCTCCTCCTCCGCCTGCCTCCTTCGTCATCATCTTCCTCATCCTCGTCCTCTTCCTCTGCTTCCCCTTCCCCCACCTCGCTGGGGTTGTAATTCTTCTCGGATTCCAGGTAGGAGGCGCGGGGGTCGAAGTCGGCAGCCATGTGCTTCTCCATCTGGTCTGGGTTCTGGGCTTTCATGATCAGCTTGTAGGTTTTGCCCTGGTATTTGGAGAGGAGGTGGCACCACGTGGCACCCATCAGGGGGAGGGTGGCCAGGAGCAGCAGGAAGATGCTCACGACCACTATGATGATGAGAGAGGGGATCTCCTTTTTGGTGGTGAAGACCACTTGGACCTGGCAGTCCTCCCCTAGGTAAGTGAGGCACACCGAGTAGTTGGTGCCAGGCTTCAAGCCCTGGAACCAGTATGAGTTCACTCCTTCCTCGATCTTGGACCACTGCACCAAGGCGTGGCCACGGCTGCTCTCCTGGCACAGGTAGAGCATCCTCAGGTGCACCTTGTCGGGCTGCACATAGGTAGGCGTCAGCTGCACCCGGGCATCACGCTCCGACACATCCAAGGCGATCACACCCAAGTCGAAGGTGTGCTGCTTGAAGTCACCGCTCTGGTTGAAGGCATGGTTGGAAATGTATCTGCTGGTTGGCATGGAGCCACACTTCTTCTCAAAGGGAGGAAGCTGGAAGGGGACTTTCCCGTCTCCCGTGGGCTCCATCCCACCCGATGAGGATGGGTGGCTCTGCCGGGTGGGGCTGAGGGGTTTGCTCCTCTCATCGGGTGTGAGCACACTGTTCTTCGCTCCCTTGGCTCCAGGCTTCTTGTCACCTGGCTGTGCTTTACCTCCCGTCGGGTCCCTGCCAGGCTGCAGCGGGTACTTCTGGGATCCAGCCACAGCCACGTTGACCGAGGTCTGGTTGCTCCCCATTTCATTGGTGGCCAGGCAGGTGTAGGTGCCCTCCTCCCGCTTGCTCAGGTGAGGAATCACCAGCGTGCCATTCTTGAAGACCAAGAAGCGCTCAGGGTCCTGTTTCGGGGGGTCCTTCCCTGCACTCTCACTTGGGCTGCCGCTGAGCTCCAGGGTCTGGCTGGAGGTGCGGATCTTCCAGCTGACTTCGGGTGGTGGAGTGCCTGTCACAGCACAGTGCAGCGTCAAGGTGAAGCCATCAAAGAGCTCCGTGGTGTCCAGGTTGGGGTAGTAGGTAAGCTGCGCAGAGGGCGAGGTGCACTGCGCATCGGGGATCTTCCCCACCGGCACCCCACGGAGCTGCTCCGGGAGGCTGCAGGTGATGGATTCCTTCTCTGGGATGGAGATGAGTGTGCTGTCCATCCACTTCTTGAGCCATTGGAGCTTGCAGGAGCACTCGAAGGGGTTGTTGTAGATTTGCAGATGGGACAGGGAGCTGAGCGAGTCGAAGATGCCTTCGGCGAGCGTGGTGAATTTATTGTTGTTGATGCGCAGAGACCGCAGGTCCTTCAGGGTGTGGAAAGCCCCTTGGGGCACCACAGCCATGTGGTTGTTGTTCATCTTGAGCAGCTGGAGGGCGCTGAGGTTGTAGAGGTCCTGCCAGGGGAAGTCCACGATCTGGTTGTGGCTGATGTCAAGGTTCTTCAGCTGCACCAGGATGGCGAAGGCGCCGGGCTCGATGGCGCGGATCTCATTGTGCGCCAACCACAGGGACGTCACCTGGGTCACCTCCACGAAGGAGCGCCGCTGCAGAGCCGTGATCTTGTTGGCCGACAGGCTGAGGGTGGTCACGTTGGAGGGCAGCCCAGTGGGCACCACCTGGAGATCCTTGTAGGCGCAGTCGGCGAATTGGTGGGCATACTTATCCACGCAAGCGCAGGGCTCGGGGCACGCCCGGGCTGAGCCCAGCAGGGCTGCCAGCCACAACCACAGCACCGGGGCCATGTCCCCTGCCAAGGGACACAAGGGCTGGGTGGGTGCCCGCCCCGTTCCCTGCCGCCCGGGGAGAGGCGGCGGGGACGCGCCCCATTGTCTGTGCCCGGCCCCCCGCAGCATCCCCGCCCGCCCCCTCGCTCCTTCTCCTCCCGGCTTTCTTTCTTATTGCTTTTCCTCCCCCAGATCTCGTTTTCTCCCTTCTTTTTATTTCTTTCTTTTGCCTGTTTCATCTTCTTCTGTTATTTCTCTCTTTTTTTTTTTCTCCCTTCCTCCTTCCACCCTTCTCTCTCCTCTTCACTTTTCTCCCTCCCCTCTCCTTCTACTTTTCTCCCTTTCCCCCATCTCTCCCAATTCCCCCCCCCCATTTCTCCCCATTCCCCCCCATTTCTCCCTGTTCCCCCCTCAGCCCTTCCGCACCGGGAGCTGACCCCGCACCTTACCCGCTCCTAAGTGCCGCTGAGCAACACGCAGCTCTTCTCCCCTCCGCTGCCGCTCCTCCGCATCCTCCTCCCCAGCCCCGTTCCCCGCAGCCCGGGGGCGCCCAGAGGCGGCTGTGAGGGGCTCGGCGTGCCTGGAGCACCCCGCACCTCGCCGGGTTCGGAGCTGCGCACCGGAGCGGGGCCGGACTGGCAATGGGGCTGCGGAGCCGAGAGAGGAGGGAGGAATTAGCATTTCTGCCAGCCTCCCCCTCCACACGGCCGCCCCCTTCCCATCCCACCACCCACCCACCGCCGCCTCGCCAAGCTCCGCAGCCGTTCGCAGACCCCGAAAATAAAGCTAAGAAACGCCAAGAATCCCCCTCCCCACCGAGAAGGGATAAAACCCGTAAGCACGCGGCAGCAGCTGGGATGCGGTCTCTCCGCCCCCCCCCCCCCCCCCCCCCCCTCCTGCCGCTCCCGTCGGGGCAGTGTACGGAGCCGGGAGTCGTTCGCCCTTTAGGAGCTGCCTGTGCTCGGGCTCCGGTGCTGGGGGAACGGGGAGAATGTGTCCACACCGGCCGCCCCCCGGGGGGAGGTTCCCTTCTGCATAGAGCTGGCTGAGTGAGGGGAGCCTTAAACTTGAAGGTGGGCAGGTTCCCCCCGACGTGGGGGTCTCTACTCCCGGCCCTGCCCTTCCATGAGAAACACGATGAATAATTGATTTTGTTAGTGGGATCGATTCCTGCCTGTCTC